ATTAAGTGGCACATAGCTGCAGTGACAAAGTCAGCTGATTCCTGGGATATTTAGAACAGAATAACAGTTTGGAAGGGGAAAAGCAAATTTTGTATGGCTAACCAGAATGAGGTAATTGGTAGGGCAGAGCTGAAACAACCCTGAGGCTAATCACAGAAATAGGTCCAGTCCCTGCCATGCCCCATATATATGAAGAAGCTCCCAGAAACTGCAACGACAGATAGCCTGGAACATTGGTCACACAACATCCATGACCACGGCTACTCCCAGATGAAAGGAGTTAAAAGCTGGAGCTGGCCACAGATGAGGGCAGGCACGGGGATAACAGGAAGGGAAGAAGCTCAGAGCAGCACAGACCCTTCCACCTTGTGGGCCAGAGAGCTGACTCCATGTAACAAACATGGGATGAAGAAGAAGGGAGAAATAATCTTTCRTCCCACGACTCTGTCACATTCATCCTCATTCTGGTCCTTACGTGTTGCATTTCCTGGGCAGGGCATAACCCTCCAAACCGGGGCGCACGGCGATGTTGCTGATGGTGTTACGGCAGCTGCGGCACTGGATCGCTATTTTGGTGGCTTTGGCTCTCACAGGCGTTGCTGCAATTACAATCCCAGGGATCTTCACAAGGTGGGACATCTGGTCAGACTGAAGGGGAAAAGGTGCAGGGAAGGTGAGAAAGCATTGCACTGCAAGAGTGATAAGAAACTTAACCATACTATAGGTGTCAAAGAAACGCAGGAGTACCATGAAAATAAACAAACAAACAAAAACCTACACTTCCTGGCAACTCCCCTCTCTTGCTCTGCAGGAATAGGGGAAGGCTGCATGACTTAACTACTCTACCTTCAAAGCACGAGAGTTAAGAGGACAAAACACTACATACAAAACCCCCCCAACAGCAATAATGCCACCAAGATAGGAACCAAACAAAACAATCCTGCACAGTCAGAGTTAAGCTGCTGGGTGTTCTTGTTTATAATTAGTGAACAACCCATGTGCTGAACCAAGAAATCAAGTACCTAAAGTTCCACCAGCAATCACACCCGCACACAAGCAACCCAAATCCTCCACACTGCAGTAGTTTCACCTCACCTTCAGACTGCGGATGTTGGCAGCGTTGGCATCTGATCTCAGCATGACCTGGATGTCTTGCAGAGCTTCTTCACCCGAAGGACGAGGGCGGGTGACCTCATCTGCAACTTCTTTTGCTGCTTCTTCCAACTACAGGGGGAATAACTAGGCTTTTACCAGCATACTATTGAGCACTGTCAGGATTGCTTCTATTACATGAGTGAACATCAGTGCACCAGATCTCCCATTTCCTCCATCCTTACCAGCTGAAGGTGCTCCGCTGGTTGCTTGTACAAATAGTCCGCAAGATCTTCATCAAAGCTGGCTAAGTCTTCCATCTCCACCTCAATCCAGTACTGACCCAGGTTATAGTGGCGTTTAAGTTCATCTCTGCAAGGCAATAGGCAGTAAATGTTTGCAGGGCAGAAAGCATCAATCTTAATACACATGTCCAGCCAACATCCCARAACAGCCTCGTGACTTCACAGGCTGCAGAGAGGGCAGGTTCTGCATGGAGTTCTTAGTTTGGAAAGGAAATTGGGAAAATATGCAGAGCAYGCAATACTCCCCTTACAAAAGTGAGGTTGCAAGAAATGTGGAGATGACAGTTGAAAGATTTTCCCAGCCTTGCATTACATGTCCTCATCTTCTCTCTCACCAGTCTCTCCAACTTGCAGATGCAAAGCAATCACCAAGGGACCCTCAGAATTTCAGAGGGCCTAAGTGATCAGCATTTTACCAATTTTCATACACCAGACTCTCCAGGTCAGACCATACACAYACCATGCATATACTATTACACTATTCTTACTACCACACTACTCTCTGCTGTTGCAGGCCCAATTACTGCCTACAAATCCATGAGAATCCGTGAGAATCTTCTTCAGCCTTCCCATAAACTCAATGGGGGACATGTCTTATCCTAACAAAGCGTAAGATCAGGGAGGTGAAGCCACCGTGAGCTGGGGCAGCACCTGTATTTGAAGGTGAAGCCCGTGCGGTCCGTGCCCACGCGGTACTGCCGCAGAAACTCCTTGAACCGCCTCTGCAGCTGCGACTTGCGGATCTGCCCCTCGTCGGCCGACGCGTCGCCCCCGAAGCTGTCGCTGTAGTAGATGCCAGGGTCGTCGAAGCCGGACATGGCTACCTGGGTGGGGAGAAGACAGGGTCACCCCTTTCCCACCCCGCCCCCAAATGGATCCCACTTCCCGCTGCCCTCCCTGCTACCACATGGTCCCACATGCTCCACCATTACCCCAGGAGCCCGAACCTGCACTCTCCTCCTGCACCCCAAAGACCTCCCTTATCCCAGGGGTCCCCCCGCCCCCACACGATGTTCCCGCACCCTCTGCCCCACCGATTGCGCCAATACCCCCCAAGCGCCCCCCACACGGCTCCCTCCCCGCGGGACGGACCGCAGCGTTGGCCCCCTCCCCGCTCCGCACCTCGCCGCTGTCCAGGAACCAGCCCGCAACTTTTCGCGGCAAAAAAAAAAAAAAAAAAAAAAAAAAAAAAAAGGCGCCAGGCGGGAACTGAACGGATCAGGCGGCGCCTTCCGAGCGCGCCGCCGCCGCGCGCTCCTATTGGCCCGCGCCCAGCGCCCGCCCGCAGCGCCTCGCTCCGGATTGGCCCGTCGCTCCGGACTGGCGGCCGCCGCACCCTTGCCCCGCCCTGCTGGCCCCGCGCGCCCCGCCCCCTTTGGGCCGGGCGCAGTTTGGCGCGAAAAAGCCGCGGGAAAGGGAGGGGAAAGGGAGGAAAATGGCGGGTTGGGCGGGACTATTTGGGGCATGCGGTTCGGGGGAATCATTGCTGCGGGGGAGGAGGAGATACCGCGCCAGGCACCCAGAGGCGAGGGGATCTGCTGCCGAGCGCGACACGGGTTAAGGGACACCCGCTAAGGGACGCACCTGAAGGGACACGCATAAAATAGAGTGGCGATGGCTGTGAGGCTTGAGGGTGAGGGGGGGCAGTGGGAGGGGGGGCGGAGAACAGCCCTGTTTCCTGGATTTCTTGTCTCCCTCCATGCTGGGGCGTCCAGGTGTTTGCCCAGGAGTTGCCCAACAAAGCCCCCAAAACGTGCCATCGGTGGCGGGCCTACGTATCCTTGGGCAGTGCTGAGATGGCCCTTGATGCCCCGCCAAGAGGGGATGATGGAGATCTGAGAGGGTTAGTTAGTGTTTTGATCAGTGCTCCTTTGCCCATAGAGGTTGTGGAGTCTCCAGCCTGGGAGATGCTCAAAAGCAACCAGACGCAGTCCTGGGCAGCCTGGTCTAGGTGGCCCTGCTCCAGCAGCAGTTTAGGCCAGGTGACCTCCAGAGGTCCATATCAACCCCAGCCATATTGCAGGTCTGATGTGTTGGGTACCACAGGCCAGACAAGGAGCCATGGGAGATACTGTAGAGTGGCTTCAAGGCCCCTTCTATGAAGACTACACGTCTTACACTTGTGCCTTTTTAGGGTAGCCCTTTTGGAATGTAACTGCTGACAAGCTCTGGCATCTCCACAGGACAATGAGGGCTAGTCCATAGCTCAGGTGACAGATCCATGATTTGAACATTCCAGAGGAAAGAGAAGGAGAGGAAAGAATGTGCAGAGATTGGTGGTGGTGCAACAGGCCAAGAGCCAAAGAAGGCTGGATGAATAAAGAAAATAGCCCAGTCTAGGACATACTGGAAAGGAGAGCAATCCCAAAAGCTATGGAGCAAGCCCAGTATGCATATTAACACGTTTTAGGATATATTTACTCTGGTATGCTTTTCTGCTAATTAGTACTGAATTCTGGGGGAAAGGTGTCACTGAGCAATCATTATGGATTACAGAAAGTGTGGTAGTGCACATACTAAGCGAAAAATGGAGCTGGGAAGCATAGTGCCTTGCAAGGAAGATTTTCACAGCGCAGGATTTTCACAGCTGTAATCATGTGGTAGGGAAGCCAGATTTTTTTCATAAAAAATCATTGATGAGTACAAAACAAAGTTTTAGGTTTTATCTCTGCAAACTTGCTTTAGGGCGGCAGAGCAGGGCACCTGGCTTTGCCAGAGTACAGAGGTTTTCTGCGCTCCTTGGCATTTATTTGCATGTTAGGGGYATTTATTTGCTATGTTGAATGAACATAATGATTTAGTTGAGTGTGTTAGAGTAGATGGAACTTAAATTTGAATTGATGGAATGAATTTGAATGAATTGTTATTTGGTTTGAATAGTTATCACCCTGTTTTTCAAACATTTGACTTTTTTTAAACAATTGACTTGTTTTATTTTTTTTTCCCAGGGATTGGTGAATGAGTCCAACTAGGGAAGTATTAAAGGGCATTTTGGAATAAATATAGGATAGACAAGCCTGAGAACAGTTACAGTTCATCTTTCTCACTGTTTTATTCTGCAGGACCTGCCTTCTGATTCTTGCTCTTTGAGTCCTGGACCTTAATGTAGATGAGTAGGAGTACATGTCTTTGGGATGAAGGCCACAGGCAGAACAAGCAGCATCATGAAGACAGGTTCATCACAGAGATTCTTTGGATAGGAAGAGTTGAAAGGACTCTGAGCTGACGGACAACAGCTTTGTTGGTATCTACTCTGTTGCACTGAAATTGCACCCACTCCTGCAGGGACGCCTGGCTTGTGGCCATAACAGTAGCTGGCCCCAAACTCAGACCTCCAGTTGTGAGTGAGCAAAGGGAAAACAGAAAGCTGTGTGTGGGGGCTGTCACTGTGAAGCTTAAGAAACTTGTGAAAGTTATCATTAGGATAGAGTAGAATGGAGTCTGGCACTGGTAACTCCCACTTTTGTCTGGTTATTGTGTGTGGAGGCAGCAGCTCCAGAAGATGTAAAACTGGGAGGCAGAAAGGTACTTCCATTCTACCCCAATACAACTGTAGCAATAGGAAACAGCAAGCTTGAAGACTTTACATTGATGTTTATTACGTGTATAAATTATCTTACAAGACCAACATTGTATCTTCAACAACCATRTTATGCTTTAAAAAATGATTTGTAAAAGATTTAATCCTCTAGTGACATATAAAACAGTATATATAACCCAGAGGAACCTTGTGGCTCCACAGAAAGTGATCACCGTTCCAACTAGCAATATAAAATATTGAGCAAACAGAGCTCCAGAGACCTTTTTATTTCTGAGGTGAGACAAGATATCAAATATGCATTTCTGACCTTGCAGGATTTCTGCAGGAACTCTATAAAGCAATGAGTTTCTGGTCATTGCTTTTAGGTCTTTTCTGCCCTTATGTTCTCGTGGTAAGTTTAGTCTGTGGCCTAATTTACACCAAGCACAGGAGAGATTTTGCCTGAACCCCCTTAACACTCTCTTTTGCTTTCTAGGGAGTCTCCTAATGTTAGTGAGAGAGCCAAGATCACAGCACCCAGCCAAGGAGAATTTCTCTCAAAAGGACTGGGGAAGACGGATTAGTTCATAGGAAGGGAAGGCATTAGAACAAGGTGCAGGTCCTGCTTGTTCACATGGCAAATAAGCCCACTGCAACTGTYGTGACCAGGAAGCTGAGTGCAAGGATCCACCGTATGAGGGGAGTGTTGGACAGCATTTCTGTGTGCCTTGTGTTTGTGCTCTCTCTTTCTTTCCCAGACRCTGGACCTAGATTAAATAGAAAAGAAATAAAAAAGTTGAAGGAAGGTACGTGTGTGTCTACTCCACAATGCTAAGCAGACATTGATGCAGTTGTTTTGGGGAGAAGGAGACTGCTCAAAGTCCAGTAAGGCTGGAGGAAGGAGTGACAGCAGATTCTGCTCTGCTTGTATTTGGGATCTTCTCTTGTCTCCTTACTTGCTTATACATACCTATAACAGATCCTGAAGAGACTCATTCAAACCTCTGACACATCCAGAAGACAGTTAAATGGTTAAACTTTAAAGGCATTTTGTCTTCTATCTCAATGATTTAATCAGTTAGGCATTTTATGACTTAATAGGTACTCCTTAACACTCCAGACAAATAATTACCCTAGAGCAATTTTAGAATGGGGCTTCTCATCCATCACTGATCYTTTTATCACAATGTGTAGGTCATAAGATTTTTCTTATGTAAACCACATCTGATCAGGGAAACCACTTTCCTCTGTGGACATCTGAGCACTATCCAAGCTGAGTCACAAGTCTGACTCCATAAAATGTGATCRCTTTGCCAGCAAGAGCGTTACTGGCTATATAGAAAGGATCCCTGCACAGGATCTGCACCTTTGCCAGTAGATGGAGCCTTTTCAGTGTTGCAAAACTGAATGGGAGCCTCTGAAGCTCCACTTCCACTGCACATTCATATTTCATGCTGATTTTAAACCTAGTGCATTTTCATTGATTTCAGGAAGTATTTTCAGTAAATACATCTGGGAGGCATGAAAAYTACCACAGGAAGATTTAGTCTGAAAGGGGAGGTTCTTGGGTAAGGTTGTATGTCTAGAAGAATCTTCTGTCAGCATCACAGTTATTATTTTAGACCCCAAATTGCAACTTTTCCTTTGTGAACTCAAGGCCAGATTCCCCTATGGTTGAAGCTTTTATGGCTAATGAACCTTACGTGTATTAAAACCTCAAAGGGAGAGTGTGTTATCTCTTCCTTTTTAAAAGCTTTCTCACAGACATTCTTCATGGAGAACTCAAATATGTCACCCCTGCTCTGCCATGCCTGGAGGGAGCTTCTCACACACCAGGGCCCCTTCTTGCTGACTCTTGGTGAAGAAATGAAGCAAGTGCCTCACACTTATTTCGCAGTGGCTTGTACAAGCAAGGAAGGAGGAAGAGAAAACCACAAGGGGCAATTTTAAGCAACTGCTGTTGGAAATCTCTTACCATGTTCATATGATTTGTTAGTGTTCCTTGCGCGAAGCTCTGCCTTCAGCTGCACAGGGTGACCATTTTCCTGGCCCTTAGACACTAGCTSCTGCAGTGCTTCAAATACCTAAAATGAATGAACACTGGCACATTAGACAGGCTTCTTTCTTCTTTCCCTGGACCCCTTGCCCCTGCCCCAGGCACTTTAGGAACTAGAAGAAACCACGAGTCTTCAACCCAGTGGTGCCCCTCCTAGTACTGGTGCCCCTTTTACAAAGAACATAATGTAGCTGTGGGCTCAAGAGAGTGTCTTTTGAGCTCCTTGTACACTTTACAGGCTCTCTCTAAAGCTTCCTGCTCAGGAGAAGGCCCGTCTTATGACAGGCAGGAAAGCAAGGTCTATGTGTATCCAGTTAGGATTCACAGAGGAGTTTCACAGCTTTACTATGGAGGTGGGGCAGGTAAATATCGATTCCTGCTCCCTGAATAGAGCCTCATTTATATCTAAACACCACAAGAAAGCGCTTGATTTCAAACCCTAGGGGAGGGAGAAGGATCTTTCAGAAACTGGTTGCTCATTAGACTCCCAGGTAAGACAAGTGGAACTGTCTGTCTCTTGACCTAACCAACAGCTTGTTTTGAGCTCCCCACCAGAAATATCAGCTTTGCCTTTCCCCAGTAGCTGTTATCTTGTTTGAGGAAAGGGTGTGGGCAGACAGGGCTCGTCAGTTGTTACTCACTTGTATATTTAGCAGGAACGCTTTCTTGGCTTCTTCTAAGACTCTTCTCTTAGTGGCAACATCCATCTCAAGGGCATTCATGCGRGAGCGATAGAGCTGTTTGAACTTGGTGGCATTAGATACGCCATCAAAGGTGAAGAAAGCCAGCCCTTCTCCRGTGCTGGGCAGCTGCAGGGCCTTTTGGGCAATCTTCTTCAGCACCTGCCCCCCAGACAGGTCTCCCAAGTACCGAGTATAGGCATGGGCCACCAGGAGCTCTGGTTGTTTCTTGCCTACATAATGGAGTCTCTCTACGTATTTCTGAGTAGCCTCGGGACATGGGATTTCATCCCTCCAATTGCTGCCGTAGAAGTATTCCAAGTCTTTCTCCAAGGCGGYTTTCCGGTGCAGCTCCGCCGGAAAATAAACAGGAGCATAAACTGGGTTATTCTTGTTGTGTTCAATCTCTTCCTCCAGAGCAGAGTAGATGAAATACAGGGAGGCAGTAACCAGCTGAAATAGAAGGAAGGTTATGAGGCACAGCTCCATCTGTTTGTCTTCCAACTTTTCGGACAAATCCCCCAATTAAAAAAAATTACTCCAAACTCAGCCCTTCTCTGATCCTGTGATATGCACACCCAAGTATGAATCATGCACMTATGTTATGTTGCTGTAGGTTTTGCACATGGAAAACAGAGTTGGAAGAGAATGAGACACCMCCTGGCTGCTCCTCTTCTGTTTGAGGCAGCATCAGGTGAGACTAAGCCATTCTCAACAGATGTTGGTCTTACATGTCCAGGCTGCTGTCTGCAACTTTAAGCTGAAGTTCTGGCAGCTTGACATGATAGAAAATGCAGCCCTATTAAATCATGTCTGGGCTTCTCTTCAGTCTTCCCTGTCAACAGATTTTTTTTTTTTTCCTTCCCCCAAAGGTGTTATTTTCYGGTGTATTGTTCAAATCTGAATAGTTCAAGATGTGCCTTTCTTTTGAGGGGCGCTGTGAGATGATGACATACCCTGTTTACTGCTGCAGCCTATTCATCCTGTGGGCAACCCACCATCCTGGGAACTGAGGCACCACTGCTYGTCATTCGCATTTCTAAGCGGGGTTGCCTGTTTGCTTTCCCTTCAGTTGTCCCAGGGAGATAAGATACAAAGGGGACTGAAAGCACAGCTCGCCTCTGAAGGATGCCTTTGTGAGAGATCACTGCGAGGCTGTGTATTCATTTCTATTTTTAAACCATTGTTATTGTTGTTTTTCACAGCTTACGCGATATTTTTTTTTCCTATCTGCCATTCTTTCGACATAGTGCAAGACAATCCAGCTGTGTTSTTTCCTTCCCTGGACTTTCTACTCTTAAAAGCTATATATACATATATATATATGTATATTTTTACATGTGCACCATCTCTTACTGAAATCTCTCATCAGCAAAAAAGGGTAAAAAGTGAAGGCACTGTAGTATAGGTGAGTCAGACTTGAGGGAGAAATTRTACCTAATAAGACAGAAGTTGGTTTATTCTCCCACAAAACTATTAGTTCTAGCAGTAAAAGAGCTGCCACTTCAACTTTTCCCCACTGTGTCAGCAAATGGACTTTGATATACAGACTGGCAGCAGTTGGTTGCAGAAACATTCAAATATTATGGAGTCATGTTTCAGGGCAGATACATAGGTTTGCCAAGAGGGTAAACAAAAGAGTTTTTTTAAACAATAACTTGTTATCTAGCTTACCGGAAAAGAAGCAAAATATATGAACATTGCCTAACAAATTAATCTAATGTAACTGTTGCTTTCAGAGGCAGATAGTACTTTAGTGAGAAATGTAGCTTTTGAAAATCACCATTTTACTTTTTAAAACTCAGTGTCACTTTTCATCTCTGCTGATTGCCTGTGTTTTCTAAAAACTGAGCTTTATTCCTGGATTTTAGAAGTTTGTTTTTTAGGTTACTACTGACCTGTCTCAAAGTTCATTTCCTAGCAAATGCTACWGCTGGCACTCAACATTAACAGTATGCTTAATTGTGTATCATGAATGTAACCTGTCAGAAATAAGCGCTCTATTTTTCCTACTCCTGTGGATGTGTTTATCAAGGAGCCATTCAACAACAATGTAATTAAGCCACAGGTCAGATTAGTAGCCAATATTTACACATCCATGTGTCACATCCTCTAGCTTCCGAGGAATTTCTAGCTCAGGTGTCTGCCTTGTTTTTAGGCATGGCTTTATTACGTGGCTCAGTTCACGTTATTTTGCCAGGTTAGATACCGACTTAATGTCTGCAAATGATTCTGTTAATCTAAGAAAAGCAACAGGCTCCTACATGTTCACTGTAGATGTGGCTTGCTCAAAGTCACTCTGCCTTGGGTAATTGCTCCTGATCTCAACTCTCATATAATTAGTGATAAATACAACACTGCGAGATTGAGTGCCCAAAATGATCCTACATTTCTCATTATTCCTTCATTATTTCTAGCTGTAACTGCTTACAGTATTCTAAAGTATTCTCCATTCTTGTTGGCCATTCTGCTACTCATACACCTCCACAAAGCTGTATCTCCATTAAGTGTCATTGGCCATAATTAACACACAGGCATTTATAGGGAAAGATAAAAGCAGTTACAATCTCTTTGCATTTTTATAATGCTTCAGCTTGGCTGCTTGTCCACAAAATATTCTCATATTCTGTCAGAGAAGCCTGTAAGATCCTAGAGTACTGAAGTTTGGTCACAAGCTTGTTTTGCACAAGAGATGCTGATACCAAACAGCTGTGATGCACAGGGCTTCCTTTGCCCCTCAACCATTAGTCCCTGCATAGCCTGTCTGATCTAGCACAGCATTCTCTGACAAGGAAATGCCGTCCCCAAGCAATACTGCTGCAAGTACCTTAAATTCATGGAGCGACACTTGTCCCTTCTGGAAGTTCTTCATGAACGGCGTGTTCTCTGCCTGCTCGTGCACCTCCTTGGTGGCTTCCTTCATGAGTTCTGACAGGTCCCGCGACATGCTAGGGAAAGGGAGCAAAAGAGATGTTGGTCCTGTCATTGTCCTCCTGCAAAATGGATTTTAGCAATCTAGGAAGAACAGGGAAGCCTGAGAAGGCAGGGAAAGGAACACAACATTCTTCCTGAGAGCACGGATGGGAACAGGGGAGCGCTAGTATCCCAAAYACTGACTGAGGAGGACTAAAATTGTCAGACTCCAGCCAGAGGGGAAAGAAAGAGCACGCTGTTCACAGCAGAGCAGAAACGGGACAGCACACTTGAAAACAAAGGGAAAAATACAATACTTTTGGCTGGAAATTTCCCTCTCATTCCCATCCCACTCTCACCTCTCCGAGCTGTGTGTCTGGGAAGTTTCCATGTTTCCCCACTTCTTTTCCTCCTGCGTGTGCGCCTGTTGCTGCTTCTTGCCTTTGCTTTCCTGCTTCCCTCCAGTTCCCAGGGCACCGTGAAGCACTGGAGCTGCTTTGCCTGCCTGGCTTCTGCCTCCAGCTTTATACGTGAGCGGGTCACGTGAGCAGCCAAACTGCTGACCTCAGTGGTGAGACAAACTTCTTGCAACACAGCTGCACTTCCCCTAGCAGCATGTTTGTCACCCTCTTTGCCTGCTGCCCTAGGAATCCAGCTTGGAAAGGCAGAAGGAAGTCACCTGATTTGTCCTGACAACTATGCACAAATAAAAGGATGTTGAAAAACTTGGGTTTTCGAGACTGCCTGGCTTGTTAACCCTTTCAGCCCAGTGCTGCTGGAAGGCAGAGCCTGGGTGCTGCAAAGCTGTGGTCGCTGCACTGACAGCAGGGATGTTGGATGGAGGATGTGTTAGTGCCGTGGTCAGATGTGATGGGGCATGGTGGGCAACCTCCTCTCCTCCCCAGCTTCTAGCCCAGTCTRTGTCCCCACCCAGATACAGTATCTGTCCTAATCTCTGTCAAGACTCAGGTGCAAATATTAGATTTTCTGTGGTCATTAATATTGTCAGAGTCCCTGGGAGTGACAAGATGCTTACTAGCCATGGGATAGGGTGCTCTGTAATGCAGGATTTAGGGAAAACTGTGAGGAATTCTGCAGAGACTTTCAAATGTAATTAATTCCTCTGATTTAGGAAAAGAGACAGTCTGGTTCTCCCACTAGCAGGTTCCTCTGCTGCTTTGCCTGTTGAAGTGATTGAAGTGAGTTGAAGTTAATGAGGCAGCCAGTGGATGGTGATGCCCTTGTTTTCCAGTTGAGCTGGAACCAGAGCAAGCCAGGACTGCAGATGCACCAACCATCCCTTCTTTGAGAAAGCGCAAGTTTTATGTTTGATACAAATACCGTGGCACTTAAAAACAGCTAGTGCAGAGGTGAGAAAGCACCGCTGCAATAGCACGGAGCAACACATGCACAAAGTGCTAGTGAGCTGTGCAGGGGAAGAGGGAGGAGAACTGCAGTTATCTGGGTCTGTGTCTTTTGCCCTGGCAAGTCAATTTTTCTTAGCTTTTCTTAGGGGTGCTGCAGTCCAAGCCACCCGTCTCCCTTTCTCCCTGCACTGCACCAACGCAGTAGGGGCTTGCTATGGTGCCATAGGTTAGAAAGCTGTTGGGGGGGAAATGTGCATCTATGCCTGTTTTTTCCACTGGGGCAGACATCTGGTTTGCAAGTGTGGGGAGCTCAGGAAAGATTAGTCAGCGATTCCACCCTGACTCAGCCAGACTTTTCCGGTCTTGTTTTTTTCTTTAAAGGAACAGTACATTCTAGCAAAAACTATCATGTTCCTTTCGTTCTTCCTCTCAGCCATGCCAATGCACGGAACTTGTTGCTCTCTTGTTTGTTTTATGGTATGCAAAAATAAATTTGATTCCCTTAAGAAGGTGAGACAAAGCCCCAAACACCCTCGGGGAGAGGGATCTGCCTGCACAGGAGCCCACGAGAGCACAGGGCTGTATGGTCATATCCTAGAGACATCCATGCCACTTCGCCACAGGGACAGCCCTGAAATGAGCACTTCTCTCTCACATTGCTTTCTTGAAGCTCACACTTTTCACTTCTTTTCCTGGAGTCCTGATCCTGCAGGGGAAGCCTATGCACAAACCCAACTTGTAGTTGCAGCAGAGGAAGGTATACTCGGTTGGCATGAGGAAACCACAAGCCCTGTCCCTCCCTTTACCCTGTTGGGAAGCTCTGAATGTGCCTGGTGCCTCTGCAAAGGTTTTCTTGCTGCTCTCAGATCAGGCAGCGCTTTTGTGCCCTGCCTGCTTCCCTTTYCCTCAGAGGCTGCATGCCTAGAGGTGCTCTAAACTATCTGCCCAAAACATCTTCCTCCRTCTTCCTTTTCACCCACAGTTAAGGCGGCCAAGATGGGGATGAAGGAAGTGGCCTGGGGAGGACAGATAGCTGCTGTTCAGCCATATCACTGCGAATCCAGGTGAGAAACTTCCTGGGCAATGTGTTGGTTGCAGACACACTGTCCTGGAACATGGAACTGCCATTTTTTTGCTCTGGGGGCTCCCCAGCCTATCTCCCTGCTGGCTTTTGAAACTACCTTCTCCCAGGCTGGTCATTGGAGATAAGCTCCCTCCCGCAGATGATTTTTTCCCATATGTGCAGGGAAACGAACTATGTCCCATAACCTAATTACACCATCTGCCCTCTAGCCAATTGGGGCTACTTGATGGAAGAGCAGATACCAGCTGGGCCTAACTTCCCAAAAAGGCCAAAGTGCTCTGTGGATGAGATGGAAGGGAACTGAAAATGTGCTGTCATCGTCTTTGTGGTCACCAGCCTGGGGCATTTCTGGCCATGTCCACTGTTGTGCAGCGAGGTTTTGTGTTGCGTCCGCTGTGCTCTTGCAGTGTGGTGGAGGGAAGGCTGCAGACATGGAAAGTGCCAAAGTTCTGGCAGAAATCTGTGAGTGACCTTCTCTTCCTAGAAGACGACTTGGGAAGCTAACAGTTAAGGATGCACTGGAAATAAGGAGCATATTTTTAACAGAAAAAAATAACCTCTTGCTAGAACAACTCACTTGGGGGCATAGTGTGCTACTCAAAACACAGGTGCCAGTCCAGATCCAGGTCAGTGCTAAATTTGGCTCATTAGTTGTCACCAAGGTCTCAGACCTGTGGTTTCTCCACCAAGCCTGCCAGAAATCCTGTGATACTTACTGATCTCTTCTTTGCTTTCACAAAGCAGCAGTGCCAGAGTTTTGTTGTGAAGGTGATACGCATGGAAACAAGTGAAATTGCCCAGGATATTTCTAGTAAACATGAATCAAGGAGCCCTAGACTAGTTCCTGCTGGGCTTTTGCTGCTCTTGCTGAGCAAGAGTTTAAGTCGAGAGATTTGCTAGATGAGCAGTGAACAACATCATAGAGTTAATGAGGAGTTGGTGGTTCCATTAGGCATAGTGAAGTGGGGATTTTTTCTCTATAGGATTAAAAACATATTCTGCCAGTAGATTTTGTAGTCAGAGAATTTTCTAGATACATGGTCAGTCACAGCTGACTGAAATCAGCTCCTCTGAGCTTGCGTGGGAAGCAATGTTGTTCAGGGTCTGGCATGCAGCCCCCCAGAGGCTTAGCTAGGAAGTAGTAGTCTGGTAAAAACGAGTTGTTCCAGGCAAGAAAGGGTTATGCCTTGTGGCAGATTAGTCATACCATGACACAGCAAAATGCAGCCTCATGGTTTTGAAAGAAAAAGCTGACTCAATAGTCAGAACTTGCTGAGTTACTGAAAAAAAAAAAAAAAAAAAAAAAAAAACGGAAGAAGAAGTGCTTGAAATTGCTTTCTTGAGAAGAGCGTCCCTGCTAGGGCACATAGCAGTAAGCTCGGGGTTAATACACATTTACCAAAGGAAGGTTGCCCAGCCCAGCCCTGGTAGAACAGATTGTGCTCACTCCTGTCGACACTGAACAATCTAAGTCTAGATCAAAGGTATAGGTTGAAAAATGAAGGTTGTGAGTACAATGTAGTGATAAATCTCATAGGGAGCAAATGTGCTGTATGATTCCTCTGTAGTGGCACTGCTGGTGTGTTTGGCCCTTCTGCAAGGGGAGTCCTCCCGGCAGCACTGCTGCTGTGGGCAAGACTGGGAGCCCCAGGGGCAGATGAGGTGGGAGACAAAAATACAGGTAAATTTCTCAGGCATAAATGAAGCAACATGACAGAACAGGAAGCCCAGATTATAATATAYGTGTTTTATTTGGATTTGAAGGATTTGAATATCATACATATACAATAGGGCAACTTCTGGCAAATCTCACACCTTTGTCCAAGGAGGTGGCATTGGAATCCAAGCTCGGTACGTGCTCAGGGAAACACAGAAACTCTCCCCAGGTTTGCAAGCCCCCTCTGCTTGGTGCATGAAACACTGCAGGTAGACGAAATGCGTGTCCCCTTCTCCTGTATGGACTTACACAGCCCTCAGCGTGCGGGGGAACTGAGGATGTTTCTAGAGACTTCCCTCAATCTTTCCATCCCATTTCTTGGGCCCGGGGCCAAGAGCAGCCGCTGCAACCTCAGCGCCGGGTAGCCGCCCTGCTGATAAACACCCTCACGTGGCCCCAGCTCTGCCGTGACTCAGCAGAACAGCCCCCCTTCTCCCTGCAATCCGAAACCGTGGCTCAGCACGGCGTCCCGTGACTCAGCAGAACGTGCAGGGCTGCACGCGCTGGGAACAGGCAGATGGGCCCCGCTGGGAGCCGCCGAGCCCGCTCCCCACGTGGGCCCCCGGCTGGGGCAGGATTTGTTCCAGCTGCTCAGAACCAGCCAGTTCCAAACTTGGAGCCTCCTGAACAAAAGGAAAAGAGAAAAAAAGAAAAAGAAAAAAGAAAAAAAAGAAAAAGAGAAAAAAGAAAAAGAAAAAAAGAAAAAGAAAAAGAGAAAAAAGAAAAAAGAAAAAAAGAAAGAAAAAGAGGCAGCAGTGGGAACTGCCTGGAGTCACGTCAGTGGCAAAATCATCCCCCCCTTCATCTGCCTCCCCAAAAGAGAGCGCAGGCTTTGCAGCCGTGCTGAGCAAACTGTGAAAGGAGGGGGCAGATGTTGCAAGCTGGGGAAGCTGCAGAACTTGCTGATCCAAGAGCAAGAGCTGCCTGTTTGTCTCTCCTYGAAACCCAGGTCCCATCGCATTTCTTGCAAGAGAAGGAGGAGTGAGCACTGGTGCTATTTGTATTAGTGCTTAAGGGCCTCAAGGAGAGCATCGGATCCCCAATAAATTAACTTTTGYGAGGTAATTAGCTGGGATAGTCAAGTGCTATTAGATCAGTTGGTGAGGGAGTGACCTGGCAGCAGAGGGGCCCTGGCTATAGGGGAGAAGAGTTTGGGTTAGGGCTCTAGGGTGTAGGAGGTTGCAGTAAGGCCAGTGGGAGCAGAGTGGGGCTCATAGCACTTGTGGCCATACATTTAAGCAGGACACAGGATGCTATGGTGTGGAATGAAGCAAATTACGGGCTCYTTTTGCTCCAAAGAGGGAGAATTGAGCCACACAA